TGGGGTTTGATTGGCGCGGCATCTCTCACTGCGAGAGCTGGGGTTTGATTGGCGTGGCGTCTCTCACTGCGAGAGCTGGGGTTTGATTGGCGTGGCGTCTCTCACTGCGAGAGCTGGGGTTTGATTCCAGCCCCTGTCCTGTGTGTAAGTGACATCTACATGTTCACCCCACGGAGTGTAGCTTTCCTCTGGGCACTCCCGTTTCCTTCCATAGTCCAAAGACACGCAGTTTGGTGAACTGGCGTCTCTAAACTGTGTGCCCTGTGAGGGACCAGCATCCCATTCAGGTGGTTCCCCTGCCTCGTGCCCTGCGCTTCCTGGAACTGGTGCCATGAACCCATGCTGGTGCTTGGAAGATGGAAGGAAATCAATAAATTATCCCTGAAAGATCATAGATGAGAATATCCTGAGCTGGCCAAAAGCGGCAGGACGGGGAGAGCTTCAACCTGGCCTGATGCCATTGGTATTTTGTGTAAGGCCAAGGTGGTTGATTCTTAATCCAGTGCTGCCAAGCAACCCTTGGATGGGGAACCTGTCAAGACTGACACGTGGAGCCGTTTCATTTGACCATCTGTGTTAATCTCACCATCATAGCTCCTGTGGTTAGTTTTTTTAAATTGTGGTATCAACCATAACAGAATGAAGCAGCTCCATGATAAGATAAAAAAATAAAAAATTCTACATCAGATGCCATTTGGGTCAACAAATGAGTCAGAGTTTCATAAGCACATCTGCTCCAAAAACTGTGATGATCCTCCCATACTGGCGTCGTTATTCTGGCACCGACTGCAAAAACCTCACTTCCATGGCAATATGGAAACAATACAGCAAGTACGCTGATCTAGTCTTTATACAGCACAAAGTGCATCTATTTGACTTCCGAAAAGAACCTAGGTATTCATCAATCTTCACAACCACTCATCCAACAGAGTTGCAGTGAGCCTGGAGCGAACTGGATTGGATTACTGATCACTTGTCTTTGGGTTAGGTTTAGCCAACAAGACTGCGAAAAAGCATTTGTATTACACTGCAATTATGATGGTAATTATTATTATTATTCAACGATTTTCTATACCTGCTGATGGAGTCTGAATGTTAAAATGGGATGTTAGAAGGCAGCGGAACTGTAAAATGTTTGCCAGTTAGCAGGTTAATCTTTCACAGGAGCAGACTAGGCCTCTGAAGGGAGGGTGGTCTCCACTAATCCTGTGACTCTAAGCATTATAATAATTTGGTCATATGACTGCGCGGAATGCTCGCAATTCCAGCTGAAGCTTGCTTAACGGACCCTGACCTTTGGCAAGCCTGCTTGCTGACAGGTACAAAAGCAGACTGCTGACTCCTTTCCTCCAGTTCACCACTGATATACTTCCCTCAGCTTCCTTTGTTTTCGTCGTTTCCATCCATCCTGCACGTGTCGGTTTAGCTCATCTACAAAAAACGCGAGCGTTAAAAAACACCAACGGCAGATTCCGGAGGCTACAAAAGGATGCGGGGATTTCATTGTCTTTATTCTGGACCTGAACACCTTTGCCCTACAAATACACTGGCATTTCCCAGCCTCGCTTATGCTGCAGATAACTTCAGTGATGGTCAACTTCCTTCCTGTCCGCGTCACTGATGGCTGCCCTTCCCCAAAAAAAGGAAATTACACATTTGACTGGAATGATTCAGGTGCCGAAAGCCATTTTAGAAATCCACAATGCAAATTCAATACTGAATGAGGGTGAAAATACATTTCACCTTGTTTATAAATGAACTGCGAACAGATTAAACGAATTCAATTTTCCTCCTTGTCTCCTGGATGTCAGCAAAATAATAATAAAAAAAGCTTTTAAAAAAAATCTGCAAGATTGTATCAACTTGTGTCTGAAATAGAACTGCTCTGCGAATAGAAACAAACCAGTGCTTAAATGTAGTATTTCTGCATAGTCTATTTTGTAACACATCTTACAAATCAGACCCTGGATCTTATGAAATATTCCGCAAGAGAAGTACTGCGTAACAACATTCTGTTTTAGACAGCAAAAATATTTTAAACAAAAATGCATACATCTCAAAACAGCTTCCCACTGATACTGGGGTATTACAAATGTGCCAAATCTGGAATGCTGACCATTAGTGACGCCCAAAGGAAACATAATATAATATTAGTAATTCTTCCAGTTATTTCCCAAAGATTTAATTAAAAAACACAAAGTATAGTGACATGGCCATGAATATTCTTCCCATACATCAGGATTATTAGAGAATAACCATATATTCTTTTAATGAGACAAAACCGATCTGCTCAAGTTGATTATTGGCCAGTTTTTACATTATCGACTTTTATTACATTAAGAACAGAGAAATGTATTGTGATATTGCGGTGTTACTATTTTATTGGCTGCTACAACGTGTCCGTGACACTGCGCCTCACCTCCGATGGTGCTCTCCTGGTACTCGTGAAACTGGCCCTTGACGAAGCGTAACACCAAGCTGGACTTGCCCACCGCCGACTCCCCCAGCAGCACCAGCTTGAACTGGCAGATCTTGTTGCCCGCCGTCGTGCCGTTGGTCCGTGCCGGGCCTCCCCGACTTGCCATGGGCTTGTGTGCAGGGGTTACCACGGAAGAGAAGGGCTGAGGCTGGGCCTGGGATCGGCTTGGCTGGGTCAGTTCGGGCAGGTTTCAGGCCCGGCTCAGGTCCAGTTGGGTTAGGCTTGTCTTGCAGTCTTTAAAAAGAAAATCATTAAACATCATTACTTAACGAACCAGTCCACTCAAAGTACAACCATGCATCTTTCCTACTGTCAAGCTCTACCTAAGAAGGCTTACATTTCTATTGCCATTATAGCCTAACAAGCAGGCATGCACACAACTGGCACACGAGTATGCATTTGCCGCATATATACCGATATGCGCAGCAATTTCTTGGCGTAACAGCGCAAATGCATCCTTTTAACCATTAAACCGCTAATGAAGTACGTATTAGCCTTAAAAAGTTTCAAATGCACGGCAATGTCTTGTCATAACAGCGCAGATGAATACTTATTTTATGTGCATTTGTGCAGTTATGCCAAGAAATTGCCACGCGCATCGCTTTATATGACAAACAAGGACTTGCATGTCATACCAGGGCCAGATCCCACCTTCAAGAAGGCGGTTCTGATGCTGAGCTCTGCGAATGCTCAAACATGGTCACCGGACAAGGATTCTCCATTGGGAAACAGAGATCGGCCCGAAACAAAGCATTTCACGTTTATTTAACATAGGGATATGCTAAATTTATACGGATTACTAACTTTTGGGTGACAAGAAATGCATCTCATTAACATTTTAGCCATACTACTAATCTGCTTAAATTGTGGGCGTAAACAAACGTCTGTATAGTAGCAAAAAGCTGGGGTCTGGTCAAATGCCTGTCACCTGAAGCCCTGGTGATTATTGCGCATGCTCGATATATCGATATGACATCACCCAGCCCTAATCCAATGCTATGCAAGCTACAGCAACAGGCTACCTCGACTTCTTTTAAATTTAGCTAATGTGTATAAATACAAATTGCAAAGAATTTCAACAACTGATCATACATTGATGTTACATTATGACAGCACAGCAGCCAATCATAGGATCTAAAATACTCCAGTCCTGATTGCCAACTAAAACAATGAAACAAATAAACCCAGCCTGGCTAAGCAGAGTTCACCGTCATTTGGTTTCTCTCTCACTTCCAGCATAGGTGCACAATTTATCATTTTTAATATCTCAAAGGAAAAACACAAAATACCAGACGCTCCTCTACTTACGAATGAGATACGTTCCGAATGGCCGTTCGTGATTTGAATTGTTCGTAAGTCTTTATTCAGCATCATTTTAAGGGTATACGCAAGTACAAAGAACTAGGATGCTGGGAGTCCGCACGCTACACTGCTGCGCGGCGGGAGTAGCGGCCAGAAGGCGTACTAGGCGGAACTGGCGCGCAGAAAAAAAAATAAATTATGTTGCAGACAGGAAACGGGAGCCCAATGAACATATTTTGGACTTACAGTCCTCTTCGTTCGTATGTCTGAAAGTTCGTAAGTTGAAAGTTCGTAACTAGGGGAGCGTTTGTAATTAAGACTGAAAGAACATACCACAAGCGGCACATTCGGCCCTGAGCAGCTGCTCCACAAGGCCATGCTTCTCTCAGGAAAGCTAATCCTACTTTTGCACATAATTACCAGTTTAAAAAATTCATGAAAAAAAAAAGAAAAAAAATCCTCCAAAAGGGGTGTAAATAGGACAGTTGAGTCACCAAACTTTTCCAAAGTGCAAATTTCAAGCAAATTGGTCGCAACAATAGAAAGAGCCCCACTTTTGAAATGCAGTTTGAAAAATTCATAGAAGAATCTGTGAAAATAAATTTTAAATGGGAAAAAAAAAACTTAGGGGAATAACAGCTCTTCCCAGGGGCGTCGGTTCCATGCCCCCCACCCACAGGCTGTACCACCCAGAATGCAGACTTATGCCCTTTGGCTGAGAGCTAAACACACAAGGGAGGTTTTTGTTTTTTGTAAAAATGTTTTGATGGAGATGCAAATGGGAAGATGGCCTTTCGGGGAGGTGGCAGGTTTAAGCGTATCGGCAGCGCCTTCTGGAGGTAACGGCCGGGGCGCGAACCAGAATTTTGCTGGCCAGATTCCCACCATTGAGCGGGGAGAGCTGGAGGACCTGGGCGGAACAACAGCAGGAATGCAAGAAATGAGAGGGAAGCCAATCCACAAAACTGAATAATCTATACATATCGTAGCACTGGGCAGACCGAGGCATCATGGCAGCAGAGGAAAGGTGAGACGATTTCACATCTAGCTGCTCTTCAATGTAGCCCTTAAACGGACCACACAGCAGGCAACAACCACACTCCAACAAGACACAAGTGGGGAAATGCAGGGAGGCTGGACGCCAGACAGTAAGGCACACACACGGTGGGTACGGGAGAATCAGACCGGGTTCACATATGACGGGACAAGGGCACTTACGACTATAAGGAACACAAGAAATACTTACGATAATAATTACATACAGGGATATGTATATGGCTTGCCGAGCATGCTTGGATATGCAAATGAAACCACTACTCAGATACTATATTATTCATACGGCTATATTATATTCTGGTTATACAAGTATGGTTTCTTTATGCAGTCTGTAGGCCACATCTCAGAAGTCGCAGACCTTTTACAACCTTTCAAAATTTTTATGACTTTTTAAGAATCCCAAAAAGCCTGACCTGATTAAGAACACTGACATGAACTTGCTGGTTCAGCGCCCAGCTTGAGTGTCCTTGACCACTATACTTAACTTGATATAACTTGAATTACCTCACTGAAAACAACCATTGGTACCAAGTGGGCCAAAATTGCACATCATATACAATCTAAAAGCACTTGTTTAGGGCAACTTGGAGCAAATCTCAGACATCAGAAGAAAAACTGGGAAAATAAACAACTGCTGCACAGTGACGCAGGACCAGACCACCTCACACTCTCGTCTTCTCCCACGCCGAGAGATCTTCTATTTCTGTTGGTGAGCAAACTAGCCACAGGCCTTCCTGTCTGTCTGCAGCGCTTAATGTCGTTAACTCCCCTACTACCGTTGTAGATGCGAGGTAAGCTCAATCACTCGGGGGTCCACGCTTCGTTACAGCCTGGGCCCTTGAGGCAACCGCTCCGGTGGAAAATGGCGCGACGCTGAAGACGACGCATGCCATGCACTTAGCCTCTGTCGTCGTTTATTTACGACAACTCTTCAGCTGGACGTTACCTCACGCCCTGAAGCAATGAGCTCCGAGGCACAACACCCACAGGTGCATGGTTGCAAACGTCCAAAGGGTCCCACAAATGCTTGCTATACACCTTTTTGAGAATGATAAACTTTGCCACATTGCAGTCCTGTGGCACACCGCAGGACATGCTGAGTAAAATGCAGAGGGGCAAGGGAAAACGAAGAGGAACTGAGAAATTTGCAAGATTAACAGTACGGAGACACAAAAGGCCTTATTACTGATCTGGGGTGAGTTTCCCGAAGCCTTCTTAACGCTACGTCGTTCTTAAGTTCTGTGTTAAAAGATAGAACTAACGAACGACGTAGCGTTAAGAAGGCTTCGGGAAACTCACCCCTGGTCTTTTCACCATTTTGATTTCGTGTAGGCTTTCTCAAACACAGACACGTTCGTGTCTTGTGGGACTCAGCACCGACCTACGAAACGCGCGTGCACACACACGATCACGTGCCGGGGCTAGCAGTCCTGACATGGCGACACTGAGACAGTGACCGCGGGGCTGACCGCTTGCAGCGACGCAGCAACAATGCAGGTGCCGCTTTCCATTTAGCGAGCTGTTAATCATTCAGAAGGAACTGAAACTGAGGTCCGCTCTAATGTAACAAAAAGCGCACACTGAGGAGACAACATTACCAAACAACTTTTCTTAAGATGTCTGGACATCCCCACGAGCTCAACTCACTCTGAACAAAGACCTTCAGGGATGAAGAGTGTTTCAATCGTGGTTCTTTTGGAAAAGAACCATGCAACCTCTGATTTTAAGCACAGAATTAGAGGTTTACAATTCTGAATTCTGCTTACAGTTTTATATGCATGTAAATGCTGCTACAAACCGGGTGAAGGGTGATGCAACTTGTGATGGTCAGAAACTCACTCATGCCTAAAAGTTCAGAAAGTGAGAGATAATGTTGCCAATTTAAACCCACCCACAAAGAACTGCGCAGCTACCAGAGAGCTCCTTAGCACGGTGAACTAATCAGACAACCTAATCTAGAAGGACAGTTTGACCACCAGTCTTCTGAGCTCAGAAAGTTTTCTAGCAGACGTCTAAAAGGCTGGGGTACCCATCACACAATAGCCTTAAAAGTCCAACAGCAAGGCACAGACTTCAGGTTCCAATAACATTATGATTAATTTAAGGGCCAATCTTCCTGTGGGGGGGGCAGTGAAGACTAACTCCTCATTCTGGAACCGTGTGAAATTAAGCAGCCTGCAAAAAAAACAGGGCATTCGGTAAGTCCCCAAGATGTAATGGCAAACAGTCCTGGATTACAACTGTCAGACATAATGAATATTTACACTGATTTACACTATATTTAATCAGGTAAGAATCCCAAGCACAGGGATAAACAACTTGGTAATGAAAACATTTACTTTTAATTACTCATTTGAGCATTTCTCAGAATTCCCGTTTTATGAATGGAATTCACCGGAATAATGGTGAAACGTCTTGCCAAATGGTTCTCTTTAAATTAAAGCAGCGGTTTACGGCTGATGTAGCCTCAGGACCCGCATTTTTCATTGGTCATGACCCACATTTTTTTTTTTTTTAATTTTTGACCTAATTAATTTTATTTTAAAAAGCAGTGCAATGTTGTGCACTGTTAAAAAAAAAAAAAAAAAAAAAGTCTGACGCAAATAAATTAAAAATAATGAAAACCGCATACTCCGCAACACAATAAAAATGATCCCACAACCCAGTTTAGGGTGACAACCCAAAAAGTGTCATTTGCTTGAAAAGAATAGCATGTTTAATTTGCTATACTATAATAAAAGGAAACCTAAGCGACCTGATCCTAAAGATCATTACATTAAACGCTGCCTGGTCTAGGTCAGAAAAGGAGTAAAGGATTCAAGACCCCCCAAGGGCTACATATACCTTCACTGCATTACGCTGAAAATTACCATTATCTTTCAGAGTTTCTCTTTTTCATTTCTCTCAAGCCCTGGAGGTCCCGAAGTAGGTCCACAGTCTGCCACAATCTACATGGAGCCCTTCCTCTTTCACCAGCCGGAACACGATCACAGCAGAAAGGAACAGGAACAGCCGAAGTTTTTCTCTTTTTTAAAGCCCAATGTGTTCTGTGGACAGCAATAACACGACACTATTCTCTGAAGGCCAGTTCTCTACCAGGAACCTCTTCCGGTGGCACGTGATCCTGGATGCCGCCTTCTGAAGGCCATCGCACAATGGCACGTCTTCATTTACCGGGGAAAACGATCACCTTTAAGCGTTACTCAAGAAAGTCAATGCCACACTTAGAGGGGTAAAAAAATAAATAATTAAAATTAGAATGTTTAAGAGCCTGTATTTTAAGTTGAATCGAAATACTGTTTGACCAAGACATGCTCCTCTTGCTTAGTCTAACAAAAAGCATGATATTGAGGGGGGGCGTAGTTGGTGACAAGCTGTGATCAGGTGTAACCTCACACGATCTAAGTATTATTGAGCCGCAACAGAGCAAGTTGTGACAAGGAGACATTTGAAGGGTGTGGTATTAACAGCCAAGCCTGGAAGGGAGAGGCAGAAGACTCACTGCTTCAGTTGAACGTCGTTGTGAGGCTGCGTATCACTTAACCCTGAAACGCCTTGCTTTCCTGTCAGCAAATTTCAAAATCTTGCCAGTTACTCCAAAGGCGTCTGCCCTGGTGGTAAATAAAGGCTAAAAATAATTACAGGCATAGTGCCAGAATGATGTTTTGATACAATCTACACAATGGGATAACTGGATCTGCTGGAGTCCTTTTGGAATCTAACCAAATCCCGGTATTCCGTGTACCGCAGACTACGACTTTCACTCAAATGGCAACCCTAAAATTCTGCTGAGGGACACCACAGTAAAACTGCTGGATTCAACTGGTATATAATGGTCTCTCTCATGCTGCTTATACAGCATCGCCCAGTAAGTCGTGCAGGGGGGAGAGGGGGCTCCACTTAATGCTATTTTGTCTCTAACTGACCAAAAAAAGTTTTTATCATCATCTTTCAAAGGAAAAACCCATCAGCTACAGGCTTGGTTTTAAGCCATCATGTGCAAGATGCCACCCTCTCTCCTGCTTTGGCTGAGGATCCAGAGTCATAACACTGGGAGCAGGATCTTTAATGCCATGAAGACATCAAATCAATTATCTTTTTTTTCAGAAAAGCATTTTACCTGTTAAGAATCTCATTACTTCTGACGGTGTCTGGTGCCAGCTATATGAAACTAGACATTTTCAATTTCACTTCCACAAAAGTTTGTACTGTAGTCCTGCTGTTTCCAGGGGAACTGCTCAAGATTATGAACTAATACTCACGAAACCACAATCCATAAAATGGGCACCTATGGTGTCAGCTAGAATGTATCTGCATCATTAAAGTGCTTAGTAAGCAGAATGATCAGAGAAACGACAAAATGTCCAACAATGAGCAGCTCTTGTGGGTTCCTGTTCAAAAATATCATTTGCCTTGCAATCTTAAGTCACATTTTTTTTTTTGTTACCAAGTTAGAAACGTAACCTGTCAAATACTTTCAAATACTGTCAACCAAAAAAAATGATTTAAATTAAAATAGAGCAAAACCATTCATGCATAATAAATGTAATTATAATTTCTCAAACTGTCGTCAGGCTTCCCCTTCAGGGGGGTTGGTAAAGGAGAAAACCTTCTTGTGCGTGTTGAACGTGAATTCTGTAAATATAACGTTACAGATCTCCTCCCACACGGCCGCGTTCGGCCAGATTTACTGCGTCACCTGAAGGAGGACCTGAAACTAAGAAATGAATATTTCAGAGAAAAAAAGTGAACAATTCTTACAACTGTCCAGTCTGGGGTATAAACAGCCACACACAGCAGCAGGAGGGGAGAATTATAATTATCATCATAATGTTTAATGTCACACCAACAAGCTGACTAAAAATTAACGAGTACCAAAGACCACCACATACCATGTGACAGGAAAAATAAGACACCACACACTGATCAGAGCAGACGAAGTAGGCAAACAGCAGATACAGCCGACCCTCATTTCCTGTGTCAGGACACATCGGTCAAGAATGCGGTCATCCGGCAGTTTTCATCGATGTAATCAGTCTTCAATAATGCATATAGCTTTAAGTAAAGCCTGATTAGACGTCTGCACAAAGGGCAAAATGTAGCCAAACGGCTGTTAACAGAAGTGCTGATTCATATCCATTCACATACACAACAGGCCTCAGTGGACAGTGAGCTGCCTCAGCCACCACAAAACAGCAGAAGATTTAAAAACAATCTCTATGAATAAAGTTAATCTGATCAATAGGAGAGCACCATTAATTCCCTCCATTTTCCTGTGTAACTTGACTAAAAATCCATAATTTTTATTATTAAAAAAAGCAGGGGCTCACAATACACGATTCTCACCATAGCAGTGATGTTCTCCCTGTCTTCAGTCCCCCCCCCCCCCCCCCCCCCCCCCCCCCCCCACCCCACCCCCACAACTTACAAGGTTCGAGAATATCATAAAGGCCGCAAGCTTTAAACAAAGTCCCTTAGATCTGTAAATTAAAACAGCAAACATGCTGATGAGCAGAATGCAGTTCCTGGTGTCTCATCAGTGTTTAAAAAGTTAGGAGGACAATGCACATGGAGCTTGGAGATTAAGGGAGAGCCTAACTGTTGCCCCTGTACACAAATAATTCCTCTCTTGAAGACTTAATGTAGGGGAAATATTTTGTAAGGGTTAGGAGAAATATGGGTAAATCATATCTTTAGCCATGCACACGCTTCACACCAATGCACCAAAAAACAAGGCAAAACGATCAACTCTGGAAGGAGCAACAAAGTGGAAATACCATCAACAGCAACCCTAGTGACCTCAGACTTAGCAGGATCTCTTATGGTTTCAAGTAATTCTAGGAATCTGAATGCAGCAATTTGTTCTGTGGCAATTACCAAGGTTGCATAAAACTTATCACACTGAAGCCAACAAACCCAAAAACTTAACATAATAAAGGAGATTTTCCCACTCTGCTTGGCTTATCCCAAAGGCCACTTTATTCATAGGACCTGGCCAGAATGTGCCAAGTGCCCAAAGCATGTTATCGTCCCTCCCCCAGAGCTCTTAATGACAACCCAGACTGGAAGCACAATCCGACTGACATGGTCAGCTTCTCTTAGTAATGCAGGTCCCTTTCTGCCGCACCATAAACCAGCAGACGAGCAGACAACCAGGCATTAAACTCCATTTATCTCTGCTATCTCTTCATTGTTAACATTAACAAAACTTTATACACCCCCATCCTTTACTTTGGCAAACTAATTCATTCACGTTAAATTCTGGACAAATGCATCAACATAAAAATAGCTATAAATAGAGAAATTCGGTTTCTGACATGGAACTTCCCTTCGTTTCTAATGTCGGTCTTTAGTGTCTAGATATAGACATATGAGCATATGGAGAATACGATTAGTCACCACTTAACGTACTAAGCTTTTCACACCCACCCTACTAGAGCTAACAACAGAAATGCTTCCTCAATTTGCAATGTTCTAGGTAGTAATTAATTAAAAGCATTATTCAAGAAAAAACACGAGGAAGTAATGAAGCGAAAGACGTGGTGACGTCTTAAAGGTCAGAAACTTCCTCATATTATCAAAGGTTATCGATTACTGTCCTCCAGTGTCCTGCGCCTTTAAGATACTGACTGATAGCTTTAGACAGAATCGCTGTATTGAAGACGCTTGTTAGATAAAATAGCTAGGCAAGGAAAGTCATAAACCAGACCCACGTTATTAACCTAGCTAGTTAACGATACGTATATAATACTCAAGCTACCGGTTAAATACGTAATAACAATCGCTAGCGATCTGAATCATACCAAAGTAATTTGTCAAAATAAGCCACGACTGACCGCACACTAAAAATATTCCATATTATTTAAAATTTTAGAGAACAATGGAACAATCTGAGAACTATCAATCTACCAACTGATTGATAAAAATGTAAATAAAAAAATGACATGACCGTGGATATTTGAGGGGGAGTTGCCGTAGAAGACATGTCAATAAAGCGAATAAACTCCCTTTCAAATGAAATATCTCACATTATAATGAACAAAACTGCGGAAGACGTGAAACGATCGAAGCTGAAACGCTGAAATTGAGATAGAAACATACCAGCCTACGATTACATAGGCTCCTAGAAAAGACACTGCATATCTACTGATATTTACTCAGCAGTGCCACAATATCACCCCGGCAAAACACATATTAAGAAGAAATATTCAATTATTAACCACACTGTTGCTTACCGTAAAGAAATACAATGTAAAACACAAACGTATGTCCCGTGCGTGTTTCACCTAAACAGCTTCCTCTAAATTATACTATTTTGTATTTTTTTCCAAGCCGTTTCACTTTCGCAGCTCCTCATCCCAGGCTCCGGCCTTCACTTCCGCCTTGTAGAAAAGCCTACTTCCTGAAGGTGGGGCTTTACTGACACGGAGCTGACTTAGCCAATCACAACATGAGTTGAAGCCATGGAACGCGACTAGTGCTCGCAAAAGGCCGATGGTTAACCTGGGAAATGTAGTTTATATCGGTAAAGGACCCGCGCTTAATTTTTTCAATTATACGTCAAATGCAGGAATACAATCATAACGTACCTCTTGATTGAGTAAGTTAAGGCTATATTTATATGGGGTTTGCTGCTACTGCTGATATTTATAAGCATAAAAACAACGGTGTTTAAAAAACGCAAACCCATTGGTACGGACAAGTCACATGAAAGTTAAATTGAGACAAAAACCGATGTGAAACAATTGGTTTTATTCCAGTATTATAACGGTAAAAGAACATGTTTTACATTACATTTACGTACGCATTTGTGCCTATTCATTGATTTTACGTTAAATGTTCAAAACGAATTTATAACTCCCAGTTGTTCTCTCACTAGACATTGTCTACTGAACTAACACGAAGTGCATAGTAATGTGTCTTGGAGGCATTGCATTTCTTCTGTCACGTGAGCCACCTGGGAAAAAAAATGACTGCATGTTTTATTATGTTGGGGCTCCTGTACTGCAAAGCTAGTGATAAGATCATTCAGAAACATATGTCATAGAATCAACACAAACACTGCTAACGTGCCTCAACAGCAAACATCCTACAATGAAATTACATTGTTGCAGGGCAAAATAGTATAAATACACAAATATAACAATAATACAAGTATAAATGTACAAAATATAACAATAATACAATAATTGTCAATTTTCCGAGGACAGAGAGATGGAGACCACACAGGGAAAGGTAGGGCACGAGGCAGCGGTCGACCAGGATGGGATGCCAGCAAATGCATTTCTGTTTAGTGAACAGTAGTGGACTAAGGAGATCCAGCAGGGGGCAACATTACTCCGTATGGACCGCAGACAGGCGTAGCTAATAAAAAAAAAACGATTTTCCTGCCATGGACTGGGGGTAATGGCCATATAACAGCAGATAAGTAAAAAATTCTGAACCCAGAAGTGGGTAAATCAGGCTTCAAAACCCACAAGGTGGGATTATAATGCACAATTAAACCCACTTCCTGCTGGTTACTTTAATACCCATCAGAATAAACCAATAAGTCACATGAGTTTCAAATCCTTGTTTTATGTTATTTTTTGACACTGAATACCATCTTATGGGACCCAAGAGCCTAGAGCCTAGAGCCTCAGCTACACATTTGGTCTCACCTGATAGGCTGTCCCTGTTTTCATGTGGTTTTCCAGCTCACCTGATAGGCTGTGCCTGTGTTCTGGTCAGTTTCCAGCTCACCTGATAGGCTGTGCCTGTGTTCTGGTCAGTTTCCAGCTCACCTGATAGGCTGTCCCTGCACGTTTCATATAGGTATATTCGAAGTGGCATGGATACCATGGCAGATTCAGGGGGCCATGAATATGCAAAATTATACACAAAATTGGGTTTGGGGTGGTTAAGGTGGCATTAAGGTGGCACCTGGGTTTCTGCAGTATTTAATACATAAATGTGGAATGTTTTAACTTATGTTCTCTAGATAACACCATCTACTGAAGGGCATTATAACAGTACTGGGACTTTTTATATTACCAAAAGAGAATCTGCTGTATTATTCCAGTTGTTAATATGAGCTTGTACAGGTGGCATGAATAACCTCCCCTCTACAGTGTGACAAAGCCAAACCAATAGGCTACTCTGATATATCACACTCCTCCCACCCCCAACTGAACACCAATCAAAAATATTTATAGGCCAATACGGGTGTTTGCACCTTACCCCCCACTTTCCACGATGTTTCTGCACAGTTCTTGTCACATATGGCAAACAGAGGAGCAGCAGAATTATGCCACACATGCTGCAATTAGTGGTCGGCCCCTTGAGCAGGAAGCGTCAAATGACAGGGATTCTGTCACAGATAATACCGTCACAACTTGCCCCAATGCTGTGTGCAGTGTTGACTCACAAACCTCTGCTGTCCATGATTATGGCCACCACTGTGTTGTGCACAGAGTAGGAGAAAACATCACATTGTTGTGATGCTAAATTACAGGGATCATTTCTTTTTTTTGAGCTCTGTTACTCAGTCATTAAATCTGGACTTAGTACAGCTGCTATACAAGAAGACTAATAACCATATTGAGATACAAGATATTTAGCTTTTTGTGGTTTGCATTTGTGAACAATCGATGCCTCTAACACAACATCAGACTGTTATTATCTTTTCTGATGATAGCCTCAAATAACTCTCCTCATGAATATGCAGAGTAAATTTGTACATGTGTAATTATGGTTGAAGATATACTGAATAAAAACACAATCATATGAATATATCATAGTCTCTTCAATCATACATGCTGTTTCTAACCATTGGCAATAAGTAATTGTAAAATAAAAACTTCATTTCTTATGCTGAAACTGAGCAGGATTGGAAATGGGCTTGGATCTATCCCAGGCTGCACATGACACAAACCCTGGTTGAAAGGCCAGGTAACATTCAGCATAAATACCAACTCCTGTCCCATTTCATGCCTGACATCTGAAGTATGCACAAAAAAAGGTTTGCACTATGCATTTTAGAAAGAAACACTAATCAATAACCAAAAATAAATATAAAAAGCATATGACAATACTCTTGTACAGACTGAATACTGAAGAAATGAAAAAAGTACGGGGCATGTGGCAGTCTGATATTTAAGGTCACTTTGACCATGGAGAAGTCTCTGCAGCAGGGTCCTGAAGGGCCGAGCCCTGCTGATTCCCCAGCCTTCCTTTACCTGTGAGTCAGGTGTGAAGCCTCTGATCAATCAGAATCAGTAATCATTAAACTAACTACCTGGGAGAACTGAAAACAAGGCCCGGATTTGGAATCGAGGTCCGGATTTGAAGAGCCCTGGTCTACGCAGTTGCTTCATGTACCCTAATGAAGACATGCAAGGTGGGTAAATACTGAGCAGTGGCTGCAAAGAGTGGACATAGGGACTTTCAGTTTAGCCAAGTCTGACACAGAACTGGAAACTGAGATATATTTATTCACAGATACACTCACAAATGGAAAATTCGGTATGTGTCGACTGATCAAAACGCAGCATTTCATTTGAAAACCCACCTGCTACCATCGCCCATTTACTGTCACCGATGCCTCACCTTAAACTGGAATGCACAGTGGAAAGTTGACACTAAAGGCAAGGAATAGATATAAATTACTATAATAAGGAAGTTGAAATCAGGGTTAAGAATGTCACTGACGAGAACTGTGGCAAGCTGTACGATTTCACATTGATGAAGCAACACCTACAAGTGAAATAGTCGTCGATAGACACAAAACCACTGCGCAGTTCAAACGTAACAGCGGCAGACATTCAGATTTATTTGTTATTTCGTTTAATCTTCAATAATCAGCATGACAACACAACCGAGTTGTATGTATTTAATGCATATCACCGTCAACATCTACATCATGCCTAAACATCAGAAAGTACAAGGAACATTCCAAGACTTCTTTGTCATGCAAGCGTATCTGGTGCTACTCTGATTCTCGTGCCTTCTTCATGTTTGTAAGAAACAACAAAACAGACAGATCTCACGCTCCCCCAAAAGAGGAAGTGTCATACTGCTTCAGTATGTATGTTTTTTTTTTTTTTGGTACATGTAGGTTGGTTATGGTGACACACTGATTCGTAATAAACTCAGCAACAGCACGGATGAGTAACAGTTCACATAACACACAGAGCCAGGCCGATAACTGACAGTCAGTGGTAAATTTCCTGTCTGGAGTATTGTTTTAAGTTTAAACATTTAGTTTAGAATCTGGTGTGATTAAATACAGCAAATTCTTACAAAATGTGACACTGATGCTTCTTTAAGTCGCACTCAGAAGAGGAAAAATTAACGAAAATGGTCAGACGAGTTTTATACAACTACACCTTCCCATCTCAAACCATTTGTAAACAAACCAAAAAATGGTTTTAGGGTTATGGAAAATTTGAAGCAGGCAGGTCATGGGGGTAGATGGCTTTTTGCATCAGGGTAACTTGTTTTAAATGGCGCTGTTCAGCCACCCATTTTAGGGCACTTTGAGAGCGTTGGTGTTGGGGAGGTGGCAATACGGGAAATTCTTACGTGACAATTTCTTACCATTGATGATCATTTTCGTAATTCCTCTTAAAATAATAAGCCCAATATTTACACAAGAAAAAAAAACAGTAATTGGAAAAAGCTGTTAAAAATGCACCCAGCAACCTCCACAATAATTCCAGTTTCCATGGTCACAAAATGAACATCGTCATAACTACCTTAATTTCACTTTACGAAACGTGGCACTTGGGTATCATATTTATCCATGCCAGTGCCATTCTTAACCTGGTCCTTGGGAAGCCCCAGACGGTCCATGTTCTTGCCCCCTCCCAGCTCCCTGCCAGGTGTTAAACGTGGACTATCTGTGG